GCACATAACAACAACAACAGGGGGCAGTAGTGGGGACTGAGAGTGACAGTGAGAAGGCGCATAGGCCATGCTCTTCGTGGTCTTTGGTTCTCTCTTCTCCAGCACAAAATATGGGACCACGTTTCATTTATTACATGCAATCACTAATAACCAAAAAGTAGAAACAGTCTGCTTGTTTATCAGCTGATGCATGAGTAAACAAAATGTGGTCTATACAGTCGAGTATTAAACTATATGGAGAAATGGCGTTGCAGTACATAATACCATATAGATGAGTCTGGACAATGTGCAGAGTGAAAGGAGTCAGCCAGGCAGGATAACTGTTGAATGATCCTGCTTATATGAAATATCTGGAAGAGACGAAAGTATTAAGACAGAGCTAGATTAGTTATTACCCTGCTGCAAGGGAAGAATTGGGACTGACTTTGGGAGAAAAAAAGTTACAAAATAGTAAACAAAAAGTTTAGTCTCATTAAAAACTATTTGTTAAGACAAAGTATTATTTCCACAAATTTTTCAAATGGCCACAGTAGACAGTTATTTGTAGTTTTCATCTCTGCAGATCTCAGTTGGTAAGAAGAGTTGGGTCCCCTTTGCTTGGCCTCTGCCACTGCACCCCCATTCCCCACCATAACCCTCTCCACTCCTCGGCTCTCCAGTCCTGTCTCTCTTTCTCTGCTAGCCAAGGGGCATAGTTTATAAGGGAGTCTTTACTTGCTCTTTCCTATTTTATTACATCTGTTTTGCTTTCATTCTTTTCTCTGTCAAAGCCTACACACAGAGATTGTTTTGTTTGTTAAAGAGCGCATGATAATGTGGAGAAACTTAAGAAATCATTTACAAAATACATAGGAAAAACTATCATGCATATATGCACAGTGGTGCATATGTCAGTATCATATCTTTTTTCAGTGTTAGACAACTTTTTTTTAAAAAACTTTAACACTTTTGTGATATTTCTTCAGTTGCCTGCAATTTGCATTTCTGAATTTAGGTTGTTTACTTGATCATTTGAATGAACATAAAAGAAAAAAAAAACACAGTATGGGATTATTTGATATTTGGAACGTACCCTGGCTACAAGAGAATATAAGGATTTTGAATAGGAAGGATTTTAGAAACCTTTAAGAAATTTTTGTAAGTCCCAATCAGCTTGACGGCACATAACAACAATAACTACCCAGTATTAAAAATTTCTGAGTATTTGTTCATGTTTGCAAGGTATATAGTAATGGAAAAAACCTCTTTTATATGACTTATTATTTATCATTTCTTGAGAGTTAATACTAAAGATTCTGTACTTCATTAGAAGAAAATGCAGTATCTTTTAAAACAAGACCTTAGAGTGAATACTCTTAGTGACAAAAATAATACTGCTTGGAAATGTAAACACTCAAAAAAAAACACCTTTTCCCACTTTGTTACAAGACATTCTTTACAATTCCCTCCAGCTGCTGTTTGTGTTACCCAGGATCTAGGACTGATGTTGCTTTCCTCTCATTTTTAGCCGTACAAGCCAGCTGTCCATATCAACATTGCTGGAATTATGCAAAGGCCAAGCAGGAGAATTGGCAGTTGGTAGAGAAATACTTAAAGCTGGTAATAACTTTTTGCCTAAAATTAATAGCGTTTTGTTTGTTTGCTTTGTTTTCCTTAGCTGTTTTTCTAATCTGATCATCTGTCTTAGAGCAGTTTTAGGCAAAACAGGAGGTTGTTTTTTTAAGTAATTTTACAAATTTATTCAGTCAGCTAATGTTAGAAATGATTCTAAGGGGAAAAAATGATTCTAAGAAATACAAATTTCTTAAGTATAATTTGAAATGTTTTTATTGTCCATATGGTCATGGGTTTTTTGGATTGTAATACCATTTATGTTTTTCAACTACTTATTTTTACTTTCTTGTTTTATAGGGTCTATTGGCATTGGTGGTGTGGATTATGTCTTAAATTGTATTCTTGGAAACCAAATGGAATCAAACAATTGGCAAGAACTCCTCGGCCGTCTTTGTCTTATAGATCGACTGTTGTTGGAATTTCCTGCCGAATTTTACCCTCATATTGTCAGTACTGACATTTCACAAGCTGAGCCTGTTGAAGTCAGGTAAATTTTCTTCTGAAAATGTATTGTTTGTTTATTCCTATCCAACCTCCTGAAAAAGGGAACATTTTAGATGACTCCAAAATACTGGAGCCTATAATATTTTCATTGACATAGAAATCTAGCATTTTCATATCAAAATTATTTTTGAGGTGTACAAACTGGTGACTTGGTGGCAAGGAGTTGCGCTACCAACCTAAAGGCACACTGTTTGAATCCACCAGCTGCTCCTTGGGAGAAGGAAGGAGTAGTCTCCTTCCATGCAGCTCACAGCATCTGAAAGCCCATTGGAAGCTTAGCTACTGGTTTGTTCATACTCAGCCATACATAGCAACAGCACCACAGACTAACCGAGCACCTTTTTCATCTGTATATTCCCTCAGGTATTTTTTTCCAATAGTATTTTATTGTGTTTCAGTTGCCATTCAGCAGTTTGTACACAGGTTGTTCAGTGACATTGGTTACATGCTCACAGTGCGTGAGCATTCTCATCATTGCTGTACTGACTGTTGTTGTTTTATTTGCATATGTTTTACAGTCATTTGAATCGTGATTGAATGTGGTGATGTTGGCTTTTTTTCTTTCAGATATAAGAAGCTGCTGTCCCTCTTAACCTTTGCTTTGCAGTCCATCGATAATTCTCACTCAATGGTTGGTAAACTCTCCCGAAGGATCTTCTTGAGTTCTGCAAGAATGGTTACTGCGGTGCCCCACGTGTTTTCAAAACTGCTAGAAATGCTGAATGTTTCTGGTTCCACTCACTTCACTAGGATGCGCCGGCGTTTGATGGCTATTGCCGACGAGGTAGAGATTGCTGAGGCCATCCAGCTGGGCCTAGAAGACACTTTGGATGGTCAGCATGACAGTTTTGTGCAGGCATCTGCCGCGAAGGGTTATCCAGAAGCCACGGAGAACAGTTCGCAGGAGCACACGGTCCATGTAGACAAAACTGGAAAAGGATTATGTACTGCAAAGTTGAGTGCTAGTTCAGAGGATATTTCTGACAGACTGGCCGGCATTTCGGTAGGACCTCCTAGTTCAACAACAACAGAACAACCAAAGCCCGTGGTTCAAACAAAAGGCAGGCCCCATAGTCAGTGTTTGAACTCCTCTTCTCTATCGCCTCATCCCCAGTCTGCTTTCCCAGCCCTGTCCACCCCTTCTTCATCTGCCCCATCTGTACCAGCTGGCACGGTACCAGATGTCTCCAAGCATAGACCTCAGGGATTTGTTCCCTGTAAAATACCTTCCGCATCTCCTCAAACCCAGCGCAAATTTTCTCTACAGTTTCAGAGAACCTTTTCTGAAAACAAAGACTCAGATAAACTTTCCCTAATCTTTACTCAGTCAAGACCCGTGCTCTCTAGTAATATACACAGGCCAAAGGCATCTCGACCCACCCCAGATAATGCAAGTAAACAGGAAGAAAGTGCAAAGCATACCATGACCCTTGATCTGAGCAGTACTTCCAAATGTGATGACAGCTTTGGTGGTAGCAGCAGTGGTAGCAGTGCTGTTATCCCCAGCGACGAGACGGTGTTCACCCCGGTAGAGGAGAAGTGCAGATTAGACGTCAATACAGAGCTAAACTCCAGTATCGAGGACCTTCTTGAAGCATCCATGCCTTCAAGTGATTCAACAGTGACTTTCAAATCAGAAGTTGCTGTCCTCTCTCCTGAAAAGGCTGAAAATGATGATACCTACAAAGATGATGTGAGTCATAATCAGAAGTGCAAAGAAAAGATGGAAGCTGAAGAAGAAGAAGCTTTAGCAATTGCCATGGCAATGTCAGCATCTCAGGATGCCCTACCCCTCGTTCCCCAGCTGCAGGTTGAAAATGGAGAAGATATCATCATCATCCAACAGGATGTAAGTATGTGTGGATTCTTTAAAAAAAAAAAGCTTAGAGAATTTTCTTGGACCATGCTAAATTAATTGAGAAATGCTTCTTTTAACATAAATTAGTTGTTGCAAGCAGGTTTTTCATGGAGTTAGTAATCTCAGAACAGTAACATTTATATATCAGTTTGAGCAGAATATTCCTTGGCTATTTTGAAGACGTTATTGGTTGGTTGTTTAATGGGGATTATGTCTGCATTTGACATTGGTCATCAGTATACATATAGAGGTTATGTTTAAGGGTGGTTTGGGAAGCCAGACTGAACAACAGTTATGTTTTGCCACAGCTAACTTCACAAAATATTACTTAATAGTAAAAAGATTGCATTCATTTAATACGTAGACACCAGAGACTCTACCAGGACATACCAAAGCAAAGCAGCCTTACAGAGAAGATACGGAGTGGCTGAAGGGCCAACAGATAGGCCTCGGAGCATTTTCTTCTTGTTACCAGGCTCAGGATGTGGGAACCGGAACTTTAATGGCTGTCAAACAGGTAATATCTGCAGGGCCTATAAATGAAATGACTAAAATTACAAGATGAAATTTGAGCAAGTGAGAAGGAATGGTCCTTTAGTTCTTTAAGCTTTGGGAAACGTATGGGTACCGTGAACATCATGAGTTTTGTTAATAAAAGCGTAAGTGTGATGACAGTAAGATGCAGTATTGAGATGGGTCCTGTGGAAGCATTTTTATTTTCTTTTTTATAGTTAATAATAGTATGGTTTTCTGTTTCTCTTAGCCATATGTTACTAGCATGGTACCATCTTGGTATTTCTGTGGGTTTACTTTTTATAATAATCACATGTGAAAGACAAATAAAATTACCTTTTCTAAATGACATTAATTTTTTTCTGTAATTAGGCTTTTCTCATATTTTTTTTTTTACTGTCTTCAGACTATTGGAATATTATGTCTCAGTTTTCATGGATTTTTTTTTCATGACTTAAGCTAGAGGTATCCGTGTCTACAAGAGTCTCAGTTGACTTGGGAGATGCCAGTCCTGTGTCCATGAACATAAAGCTGTCCCACTCTCTCCCACTCATTGCCATCAGGGCAGAACCTACTCATAAGTGACCTTCCACTGAGTTTCTGAGGCTGTAAATAGCACGAGGAAAACTACCTGGTTGTTGTGGAGCCGCTGGTGGATTCAAACCATGAGAGAATCCAACCACCTTTGAATTAGCATCAAAGTTTCCTACTGCTGATACCACCACAGCGCAGAAGCTAATTAATGTATAAGCTAATGGACTTGTCTACTTTAGAGCAGTTCGTTAATGAAAATTAGAAATAGAAACTTACCCGGTTTCAAAACATTTCTGTAATCATGTTTGGAACAGGTGACATATGTTAGAAACACATCTTCTGAGCAGGAGGAGGTGGTAGAAGCATTAAGAGAAGAGATAAGAATGATGAGTCATCTGAATCATCCCAACATCATCAGGATGTTAGGAGCTACGTGTGAGAAGAGCAACTACAATCTCTTCATTGAATGGATGGCAGGTATGTATGTTCACATGGTAAACTATAAATAGAGATGCGTAGTTTAGCCCTCCATTTGATACACATTTAGAGAAAATGCTTTCATGATCTATTTAATTTCTTGATTTATTATAATGCCTTAGTATATTAGTTGTTGTTCTCTACCATCGAGTTGGAACCAACTCATAGCTGACCCTCCAGCGAGTTTTCAGAGGCAATTAATTGCATGGGAGAACATTGCCCATCCTTTCTCCCACAGCAACTGGTGATTTGAACCAAGCAAGTGTGTCAGTATTGCAGCATAGCTTCTTACTACTAGGCCACAAGAGCTCCCTATAATTACTAGAGCTCTCAGTATATCATTAACTATAAGTTATGATTTGTCTTTCATTTTTAAAGAAAATACTCACTTGCTAACTTTTTGGTTTTGTCTTTATTATTAGCTCACTTTCATTTTTCCCCTCATTGTTTCTGTTGAAGCAATTATATAGCATTGTTTCATGAGAATTTTGTTTATTTTAATGAAAGTTTACAGACTTAGGGTTACTATTCATTCATTGTTGCACTATTCTCCCTGTCCAGCCCCTCCACTCAATTCGCTCTTCTCTTTTAAAAGTAAAAGACAAATTCTTTCATTGTTCTACAATCTCTTCCCCCAAGTTTACTCCACTGTGCAGCCTTAATTTTGGACTCCTGTCATGACAATAATACCTAGTCATATTATCCCTTTTAACGGTTTTCTCCCTCATCTGTTTCAATTCAGTATACATTATTTATCCCGTCTTTCTCAGTCTTCCTCAACCCTGATGTCAGTCCCATTTTACAACAGTGGCCCTATGCAATATTTGTCCTTTTGTGGCTGAGATATTTCACGCAGCAAAATGTCCTCCAGGGTCACCCATTTTGTATCATATTTCATGAGTTCCTTATTTTTCAGTGCAGCATAGTATTCCATTGTGTGAATATACCAGCTCTTCTCTATCCTTTCATTTGTTGATGGGCACTTAGGTTGTTTCCAGCTCTTGGTTATTGTGAACAAAGCAGCAGTAAACATGAGTGTGCATATATATCTGCTTGGGTGGCGGTTGTGGTTTCTTTGGGGTATATTCCCAGTAGTTTTTTTAAAAACCTATGAAAACGGTGTGACCAAGACAAAGGTGGGTGACTTTTAGTTTGTGGCCCTCCAGCCAGTCTTTCGTTGTTTTTGTTCAGACATTCCTCTAGGTCGTATAGCCCTGGTGTACAAGTTGCCATCCCACGGTCACTTGTGGTTGCTGTGAGGCTGAACACTGTGACACGGATGTGTCACATGCGTTAATGGTTGGCTACCCAGTGCCGACTGAGAGTGGGGCGGAGCTCCCCGATTGAACAAGCATGGAAGGAGGAGTGGCATCCACTTCCATAATAGCTTGCCTCTGGAAACCCTATGAACTTGGAGAGAGAATGAAAGGCACCCAAGCGTCAAGGACTCTCCTTCATAGGGTCGCTATGAGTCGCCTGCGACTCGACGGCACTTAACAACACAACAACAGTGTATCAGATCTAGGAGGGCCAAGTGGTAAGAAATTGTACTGCAATCCCAAAGGAACATGGTTTGAACCCACCAGCTGCTTCATGGGAGAAGGATAGGCAGTCTCTTCCTGTGTAAGTGTCTGATAACCCACCTGAGGGTCAGCTGTGAGTTGTTTCTGACTTGACAGTACTCAACAACAACAACAACAACAGATCAGACCAGACCCAGGAGTCCTCCTGGCAGAGTGGTTAAGTACTTCACTGCTAGTAACGTGTTCTGTGGTTCAGACCCACTCACAGTCTACTCCTGTAAAGGTTACAGCAATGGACACCCAGTTCTGACCTGCAGGCTAGCTGAGTCAGCATTGCCTTCATGGCAACAGTACTTTATTTATAAGATCCAGATTTGTATGATTAAGTACACAATTGTTTTAGTCTGACAGTATAAAAATAAATTTACTAGTCAAGAAATAAAAAATGGGCAGAAAATGGAATCTTACTGTGTACTTGAACAAATAAAGTAGAATTTTCTTTTGTATCGTAGAATGTCTGTAGTAAAATTAATGACTTGAGTTTTGATGAACAGTTGCTTATTTTCATTTCATAATTCTCTTCTATTTGAAGAATACTTTTCTGTTTATAGACTAGTTGACTGTAGTGTCTGATGCTGGTTTTCATCAGCACACACAGCATAGACAAGCCGAGTTTACCAACACTATTTTCGTCTAAGGCTGATTGGTATGGTGCATCAGCACTACTAAGTTGTAGGATGTGGAGACTCCTTTGGTGTTGCCTGTCTCTACCGTTTATGCTCTTTAAACCAAACAAGCCCATGGCTGTTGAGTGGATTCGACCTCTCTTGACCCAGAGGGGCTGAGTCAAACAGCCAGTAGGATTTCCAGGCCTGTGAATCTTTATGGAAGCAGTGACCACGCCCTTCTCCCATGGAGCAGCTGATGGGTGCTAGCCGTCACCCATTCATTTAACAGTGCTAACATGTTGACATTCTTTTGTAAGTCAGTGAGTGGCATTTTATATATTTTCATTGAGAAGGCTGAAAGCTGAATTACATATTTCAAAAATGTTGTTGTTGATTGCCATCGAGTCAAGCATGACTCATAGTAACCCTATGAACAAAAGGCCTGAAGCCTTTCTATAATGATTGACATCGAAGTTCATAGAGTTTCCAGAGGCATGTTCCCGTATAAATTGTTCATTTTGAAAGCTTTCTGAAATCTTGACTCTCTAGAAACCTATCTCTGGAGGTTCTTTAAATATACCCTAATTGATAGACTTTTGAGATGGCAAAGTGTAAATTTTCATGGTAGTCTTACTTTTTTTGAACTAGGAGATGCATTTAGCATGTCAGATGTTGAATTTGATCTTGCATACGGTGTGAGCCTAAGTAACCGAAGTGTGATAACAATTTTATTTTTGTCTTAAGTTTCTATTAATTACTGCTTTATAAAAATAAATTGTCTTCCAGGTGGATCTGTAGCTCATTTGCTGAGTAAATATGGAGCCTTCAAGGAATCGGTTGTTATTAACTACACTGAGCAGTTGCTTCGTGGCCTTTCATACCTCCATGAAAACCAGATCATTCACAGAGATGTCAAAGGTGAGTCTTTGAATGAATCATACAATGGGAATGAGGAGGGGAATGAATGTAGATTTAAAACTTGGATTTCTGTTGATAGCTACTAACGAGAGTTATGATGAGATTGTTTCACGTGTGTCAAGGAATATAATAAAAGCGTATTGAATAGAATTTCTATAAGAGCATCTTTAGTTTTTTGTTATTAATTAGTTTTTAATATT